GCTTTTAAAATGTGAGTTCAGTGAAGAAAAAGAAATTAATTTCATGATCAGTGTATAAGTAATGTAAAACTCTAGATTTAATTTGTAAAACTTTATGAAAATATGCAACTGCTTTTGATTTCACACAATATATTTTAAATCTGATTAAAAAATAATTAAAGTCTGAATATCCTCAATTGCTGGTATCTGTAGAGCTGAATTTCTATTAGTATCTTTTGGTGCAAATTGAAATATTAAGTCCAGCTGTTTTCCTCTGTAGAAATTCCTGAATTTACATTTTTTTAAATCAATTTTTCTGTAATTAAAATTTTAATGAAAACCTGCACACTTTTAGTAATTAAAAAAAAAAAGACACCAAATAAACAATAACAAAGAACAAAACAAAACCAAACAAAAAAATAACCAAACATCAACCAACAGGGAGGAAGCTGAACACTGATTATTTTTCCAGATATAATTGTATTAATCTAGGTATAAACTGATACCTTTAAATGAAGTAACCAATGAAGTAACACTGTCCAGATTTATACCATGGAAACTCACACCTTTCCATGTAGCACCCTTCATAACTTGCTCCTAACTGCTGAGACCTCTACATAGGTTACTATCTATAGAAAAGGTGTAAACAACTCAGGTTTATGGTATATTCTTTTGAAAGGACATACAATTATTTCCTGTGTATTTGTGAGTTGATATTTGAGAACCTGTCTGGAGAAGTAATAAAAAATTATTTCACAATACCCAAATATGGTACATATATAAGATTCTACATGCTTTTCTATTTAATGACATAGTAAATTAGAATTTGGCTCCTTATATCCCTAGAGTTCAATTAAACCAGATATTTGAAAAACAGAGAGTAAAATAATTTTATTCGCAAAAGGTTCATGAACATTTTCCAAATAAACCAGACAGCAATTTATCTAAGACTCTGTGTACTGCATACTGAACTGTTTCTATTTGTTTAACATCATTGCCATGAAAAATAGTTTGTATGTGGGGTGTTTTTTCACTGTATCAAATACTAGAAAGCCTACAAAATCACATTCTGTTAATGCTAAAAGAGGTGTAGGCTTTCATAGTTGAATATACCTATTATCTTCACAGAATACAAGGATTTCATCTAATTCTGCATATGGTTTATGTTTTTTATTATGAACATTTGGAATTACGTGAAACTACTGTATGCAGCTTTTATACGTTTCTTTGAATATTGATGCAGTTGAAGAAAAGAAGAAATTGTTTCAGAAGACTATAGAGAAAAGACATGTCTTCTCTAAATACATTTAATTACACAAGTACTTTTTTTTTTTTGTTGCTGCAACACTGGTGGCAACAATTTTGTGCACCTTAGAGCCAAAGAAGGGGTTCTATCCATAAATGTTCAGGGGACTAATCTGAAGGACACCCGTAACGCACTCTCTCTTCCCCAGTTAAACAACAAATAATTGAGAAAAATTGTACCTTACCATATCAGTGATATGTAATCATCTTCCCTTCATATATGTCATCACTTGTATTCCTTGCTGAATGTAATCATATACCTTTGATCCCACTATAAAAAAAAATATATTTAAAAATATGAATGTATATTTTGCATGATGTGCCAAAAAATTTGCCCCTTTTCCTTCCTTTTTTTGTCCAATGGAAACTTTTGCACAGAATTAAGCAAAAAGGCTGAAAGCAAGCTATTAATCAAAAGAAACAGATAGATATGTAATCTAGATATTTTCCAGAAAAGTCCAGTATAGAAAGAAGGAGCATGGATGGAAAAGGAGGTCTTGCATTTCCTCGCTGAATGTCTTTTCACACTGGTGTCAGGCGTTTATGCAATTCCACACTTGCAGTTCACTGTGCTATTGCCTTGGCATGTGTGAAGGCTTAGTGCTTCTTGCTGCTGTGAATCTTCTTTCAAGATTATACAAGTTTACAGTGGAAATTCATAGTGAAAAGGTGGCAAAGGAGATTTTTTTTTTTCCCAAGGGACACATATCAAGCAAGCTTTGAAAGAACTTCATGTACTACCACTGTAGGAATGCAAAATAGAGTATCCAGCGCTTCCAGTATACACTAGTTGTATATATTATTTTCTCTTACAGTAAGATTCATTAGCTCTTCTAAAACAATTAACTATGGAGTAATTATAATGGTTTGAGCTAACATATATAATTCTGCAATTAAAATAATCTTAGAGAATCACTGAGTCAGCTACTGATATTCAACTAACTCAGTAAATTTCAGTAATGTGGTCATTTAGAATAGTTTGTTCCAACTTTCAGATTTCCCTACAAGTCAATAATAGCAAAATGCAGGAAATGGAACCACTCAAAATGAAGTAGCCTTTTTCTCAGTTACTCCTCCTTCTACATTTATCTTCTCACTGTCCGTTTTTTCACTGCCATCAATCACTAATTTCTTCTCTCCTTCTCTTCTTGTCCAGATTTTAAACTATGAATCTTATTTATGTTTTATTTACTGAAGTTAATTAAAATTTTAAACTGCAATGAGAAACAACTTTTTATTTACATATTCAGAAGCCAGAGCTGTGAAAAGCAGGCGTTTCACTTCAGAAATTGGGTATCAGTAATCTTCTTCTTTTCAGTGATTTATTTTTCTTTAAAACTGTATTAACATTATTTATTGCTTATTCTTTGTATCTATACTAGCTATTATGGCATGCTACAATAGATCTAGACACTAATATATGGTACTATAAGTTAAAATACCATTTTAAATAGCTGTAGCTCTTACAAGAAAACCAACTTTACTTATTTTTAAGTAGCAGCAATTTAACAGTAGACTAGCATAAGTTTCTGATATTATTCCATATTCCTCCATAGTTGTGGAAAAAAAAAGAAAGACCCTGGAAATGATACAAAAACAGTAAATGAAATATTACTACTTCACTAGTGATAAAGGCACTGCTTGACTAGAGAAAGCTATGTAGAATTTTTTCTTACACCTTTTAAAAAATTCCATCAGATAAATGATAAAACTTAATTATCACCATTCTTGTCAAAAGAATTCTTTGTTCACAGTATCATTTTCGTGTGACAGATAGTTTTATCTATTACACCAACAAATACAGATAATATCAAAAGAATCTGAGCAAAATGGGGGAAATGCATTCCAAAGCTGTTTTAATAATATATAATCCACTGTGCATCTAAGAAAATGGAAGAGTTTGTAAAAAAATGGTAATTATTTTCTATCTCCATGCTAGCCTAATCATTCTAAAACAACAGTGCACAAAAAAGCAAAAACTTCAGATATGTTCAAAATAGTGTTCTTTTAACTGGAACAAGTAAGCCTTGACTCAGACATAGTCTAATTTCAGACAAGTTTGACAAAGTTAGAAGCAACTGTTTGGTAAATCTTACGAAGGACTGAAATAATACTCACAAGTCCTTACTTAAGGAAGCTTTTGAAAAAACAAAAACACCACAGCCCAATGTCTAATTACCTTTTTCCATTGACAGATTTAAGACTGTAGATGTTGAGGATTCTATTAAATCAAATTTAGATATGTCACTTTGTATTTTACCAAGAATCACATCTTTGTTACATAATAATCCTCCTTTCTTTTCTTTTTATGTATATGCTTTATCCAGACCCTGCAAGAAATGTGAAACTTTTCCTCCTCCTTTCATGGCTCAGTCCAGAGACCTCTATGTCAAAGAGTTGGATATAGACAATTTCTGTACTCAGACAAGTCACAGCTATAATTTTTCCCTAGCTATTGCCATATTTTATGAAATACACTTTACATTTTGTCTCCTAATAATCATACTAGGGATTCTTAAAAAGCTGAAGCAGGATTTTGCACAGTCCATATTTGAAAGCAACATGTGGACAGAAGGTCTAAGGCAGAACAGAGTTATTTTCTCTCTACTTATGAGTCAAGAGTTCTGACTGCAATCAGTGTGGCAAGTGCCATTGAAATATACTCATGTATGAGAGCCTGTAGGCTTTGGGCATGTCCTCAGACACCATCTGTCTTTCTATCCACCTTCATGGTATCAACTGTTAACATGACAAATCAAATAATAGCCAGACTCTCTGAGAGGTGCTGAATTATTGCTGCTCTACTGGCCTCTCTGGATTTTTTCATATTAGACATGGTCAGTAAGTGACTCTTAAGCTTTACTCTAAACTGGAATTTATTATTTCAGTCATATCAAATACATTATTATTTACTCCTGCAAGTTCTCTCACACAAGCTGATATATAGATGAATCTTGTGACATACTGATATATTTTAAATTTTCCAATAATATAGAAACTAAACTAAATATTTCTGAGTTCCCAGTGGGGAAAAAAAAAAAAGTAATTAATTTAGCAAGTGCATTCAGTATCAGGTATTTGTTGTGTTTCTGTAGCAGAGCATGTAGTGAAACATTCATTAGGACTGCAAATATTGGTGGCAGAGGGTACAAACAGTGACTCAAAGAGTTCTAAAATTAGACTGAAAGGAGAAATGGGGCTGGATTCTGGATTTCACCCCAAGTTGAAATAAAAAAAAACAAACAAAACAAACCAAAAGGTTTCTACAAACAGAAATGTTTAAACACCACCTGTCTTGAAAAAAGACAGTTCTATATAAAGTTTAACTTCAAATCTACAAGGAACTGAAAACTAAGAGATAAAAGGTTTAAAAGATTACTGCACTAAACTTCTCTTTAGCATATGTATGTTTTACGAAAAAAGACAGGCTGGAGGGGTTTTTCTCAGTGGAGGAAAATACAATGTCTTACAATAGAAACTGCACACAGGAACTTTGTTTTAATGGTGTAGATTTTAATTCCTTTTACTCTAGTAAAAGATATAGAGATAATAATTTTATGACTTTGTAACTACAAAGTTCTACAAATTTTATTAATACAAGAATGAAACAGAGCCTGCAAAATTGTCAAACAGTTACATTTCAACAGAGGGAACGTCTGTTCTATGTAGAGATTATATTTTTATATACATTTCCTATATGGAGAGATTTTATTTTTAGGAAACAGAACACTGATGTAATGGTATTTTTATCAGATACTTGAATTCACATACATACTGATGTAAGTATATACACATATTTATGCATACATCCCCCCAGTATGCATGTAATTAATATGAGCTTATTGGTAAGGAAAGGCTATGGCTTAGTAAGAAAGAAGGTATAGAAGCATGTACCAAATATCCAATCTGTACCCACAGCATAAATGTACTGTAAATAAAAACTAATCTAAATAAAACTTGTTTTGATATAACAGCAATTGTCATATTGCAAGTTTTTATTCTTGTAATTCCTAGGAGATGGGGTCATCCCCTTCTGCCCTCACAGCAGCTCTTTCCCTGCCTCCTTGTTGAATGCTGTAAGCAGCACAGAGAAAGATGGAAAACAACTTTACTATCATTTGTCACTGCAGAGGACTTTCCTTTCTCATTCATCATCCAGTTCTGAAAGAGCAGGTTGTCTTTGACTCTTCAGTTATTCAGATGAGACAACTATTCTTTTTGTTACCTTTGTGAATTTTTGTTCTATTAACATTTTCTGAAGTCTTAAATTTTACTGCTGTTTATAGCCCTCCCTTGTCCCTTTGCTCTAGCGACTCATTGTACATTCATAAAAATGACATTTTGGGGATCAACAATAGCAGGAAAGTATACTGATGCAGCAAACAAACAGCACTGAACTTCCTAGACCATATGCACACAGAGCCAGGGGAAGCTTCACTTTTTAGAATGACAGAAACATCAGTGCTTGGCTGGACAGTTCACTACATGAGAAACAAATTTTCCACATTTACTCCAGATATTGATATTTGGTTGCATGAACACCTTCCGTATGGACTTCAGTGAGCAGCTGTCCAGGGTGACTGCCTGGAATTCTGGAAGGGAACATTATTGATTTAGCAACTGAACCACTTTTCAATAGTGGCCAAAGAAAAGGTTCAGAGAAAAACATAAGGCTCCTGTAGCATGTATCTGTAATGGGTATAACATAACCCCTTTCAGCTGTGAGAAACATACCCCAAACAGAAACTCTCTGGGAGCCTTCAGTAATTATCTGGTTATTGATGCACTTCCACAGTGTGAGTCGCACTGGTCAGGATTGCAGTCCTTCAGGGGTCACAAAAGGGAACCGTAAAAATCCAAAGAAAAATAATTTGTCACTAGTCCTCAACAATCCTGTCTTTAAAGAAATTAAAAATCCAGTCTACAGTGTACTGAATTTTCATCACACGTATTCTCTAGAGATAAATTTTATCTTGTGAAGAATATATATTCCCCACCATCCTCCCTAACATCTATTTGTTGTTTTTATTTATTAATTTTTACTTCTAGAGTGGAAATACTAGCACAGAGTATGCATTTTGACTTAGGATAAACAGTAACTGAGCATAGAAAAGTTAGTGCTGGGATTTGTCCTGTTTCATTGGCTGAGATTGAGACCCTATTTACATTTATGCAGTTTTGATATAACATTGATACCTCACTGTTTCATTCTTTCTTCATTGTAGTACTGTTTTAAAAATCTGTGAGACTGAAGTGGAGGCATATCTGTAACATTCATGCTATAGGGATTTTTAAGATCTATTATGTGTTAGCCTAATATACGTGGACATGTTAGTAATGGAATGAAATCCTGATGCTGCAATGAACTTTTGTAGTGGTTACATGTACAATACATTTGCAGAAACCTAGCCTAGCCTGTTACAGAAGCAATTAAATAAAATGCTTTTCCAAATTACTCTCTAATTCTCTAGTCTAGTTGCACAATTTAATTCTGAATTTAATGAACTGTAAATGTGACATCAGAATTTTTGTCTAATACCAAGAATTTAGATTTAATAAAAAAAATTATACTAAACAGATATGTTTAACAATTATAGTGCAATTAAAATATGCAATCAAGCTTGCATAAAATATATACTCAATCTCAGGATATATTTACACAATGTTCTTTTTATTGAAGTAGAAACTATAGTAGTTTCTAACACTACTAGAAAACTAGCTGAGCTCTCCTAACTGCACCATAGATTGAATTTCCATAATGAGTCTGCTGCATCATCTTGACTGATGTTTCCATGAGCAAAGCAGATTCCAGTTTGAACTTCTAATTGCATACACCACAACAGTCCCTTTTTTCGCATCTTACATCCTCTTAGCTTTGCTTTTTTCACAGTCAACATCTCCTGCATAATCTATTCAGAAATGATTGACAGTTCAATTTGGGCTGAATTTACACTATGTGCAAGGGGAGATTCTGGACCATAAATATTAGGGAAAGGAAGAGAAAAAAATCCAAACTTTTGCCTTGGACCAATTTAAGCAGGTTTTGCATTGGCAAAAAAAAAAAAAAAAGGAAAAATATTTGAAATAGAAGACTATATGGGTTCTATACATATTGTAGGCAAGGACAATTTGGCATTGTTTAATTAAGATTTGGGTTTGGGGCAGAATGACATTTTCACACATTTCTAAAAAATTGCTGAAGCTACCCTGGAGATGTGAGGGAGGAATAAAGCAGTAACATTTCAATGAACAAAACATAGATTTTCATACACTCTACAGGGACTGTATATAATCTTTAGCAGTGTAAATCACCATTTCATCACTTTCTTCCATTGGAGTCCTTTGAAAACAGACCTCTTAACAGTCCATAATTCCTCAAAGGATGATCATCACTGACTTCAAAAAAGTAGTCAAGGTCATAATTGTAGGACAGAAAACCTGATTAAGACGTAGAGTCAACTACCTCAACCAACCTGCAGAAGAAACACTTGCATTTTACTGCAAAAGGCTTTTTCTTAAAAACTCCTTTCTGTTTAGAACAAATGCTTTAGAGTATAAAAAAGGTTGGTCAAATATCTCAAGATGCCAACTTAGATGGAACTCAAATCACCTACCAACATCACTCACAGTTGCTTAGGTTCTTTTAATATTTACAGTATTCAACCAAATATAGGGGAGTTCAAGAAAATCCTACCTTCTATTACCATCCAAAACTCGTTTTATTCTCTCTTTCTTAATTAAAAATATCTCTGCAACCAAAGGTGCATTCATATCTTAATTTGTACAATGACCTTGAGACAAGTACAAGTTTTTGTGCTATATGCCCCTGAGGGCACACATTTACTTTTTAGACTTTCAAGGGATTGAACTTTGATAAATTGCAATACTTTAAATACCCCAATATCTGTGAAAGGAAAAACATAGAAAGATTAGAATTTACGCAGATTTGGGGAAAATACTTAGAATAATTCTCGTGAGAATTCTGAGTGACAGGAGACATGTCAATTACTGTATTTCTAAAAATTGCAAAGAGGGAAAGATAATTTTGAGAAACCAGCAAAATTTCTTTCATATTTCAGAAGTGTTGCTATTAAACATTAAGCTAAATGGAGTAAAAAGTGATTTTCATGATGTCATTGGATTGTCTACAAGTTGGATTAAATGTATTCTGAAATAACTGACTGCATTTACAATATAATTATTTAAATGTATATATCATAAGATGCAGGTGTCCCTTGTTCCTTATTCTTTATATAAAGCAAGGAATTATTTCATTTTTCAGAACTGATGGGTGCCTAGAAAGAACAAAGATTCATTCCAAGATTCATTCACAAGAAAACTTACATTAGCTTGATTAAGAGATATGCATAACAACTCCTTAAGAGTTATATAGGAAAGAAAAGAAACAGTATTTGTAGTAGAGCTGGAAGTAGAAGAAGAGGATCTAAGTAGAAAGCACAGTCTAATAAAGAAATGAAAGGGAATCTTGGACTCTATAGCTTTAATGTAGCTGTAGACACAGTATACAAAATGTAATTTTTAAAAAAAGACTAACCATGTTCTTGTGCCATATTTTTTTCTAGATTTTACCTTTATTTAGTCTGTGAAATGCAAGTAATTATATTTCAATTGTTTTGTAACATGTACTCCACAATGAACTATGCTCTGAGTGTTTTTAATTTTGTGTGGGCTACTTTGCATTGCTGCAATTGACAGGACATTTATGTGAATATCTTGTATCAATGTTATCAATATCAATATTATATGAATAACCCAGGATACTGAATCTTCTTTATATAATGGACATGATGTTTTGTAAGAAAATGTTTTCTTTAACACAAAGGGTCATAGTACTTCATACTTTGAGTCACAGGAAGGTCTCTTTGTCTGAATATTTTACATTTCTCATTTAAGAAAAAAATTCAACTTCTGTCTGAACGCGTAAAAGTCCATGGAGTGGCTAATTGTCTTATAAATGTTCTGTCCAGCTCTAATTAAAGCCATGTATTATTGAGACTCTATGCCTGTTCTGAACTGAAGCAGTAGCAATTCTGAGGAGATTCTTTGTCTAATATTTTAAGTGATATGATAGTGCTATTAATGCAAGTATTTTTTATTTTCTTGAGGAAAGTCAGTTGGGCTATGTTAGCAAATTACTCTGGGGGGTGCTTTAAATTTAAGGGTAATTATTAAAGCCTGCCAGCAGAATCACCTTAAACAAAGCAGGTGAGGGTACAATGTAGCTTGTGATAGAGAAGCAGAAAGAAGAAAGGAAGTCATCTCCTAAAGTATTTGAAGAATGAAAGTGAAACAACAATTTGAGAACTAACTATGGTAATACTTTAAATGTGGTTTGCTATTAGAAGGTTGAGAGAAAGAAATCTGACCATAAATACAAGATAATAAAACAGTAAATTAAACCCACAAATTAAACAAAATTAAAATTGGGGGTGAGGGTAGAGGTGTGGGGTGTGGAATTTTGATTTTAATAATTAACCTTAGATTTCAAGAGCATCAATAAATTTGTAGCACTTTTGGAAAGACCATCTTCCAAATTGAAAGGTACAGTAAAATCAGTCTTTTCACTATGCTATTTCCTACTTAGTGCCAGTAAATACAGATGCAATAACTGATAGCACTGGCTTAAACAATTTAGAAAGGCTGGTTAGAAAATGAAATGACTGAAAAATGCAAAGAAATCTATTTTATTCCTAAAGTATTATCTCTATTTCTGAATTTGTTAACTTTTTTTAATGGAAATAATAGAAATGATTAAAAAGCAAAGACTAATTCTTAGCTGAAAAAAGTATTTTTCCTACTTTAAATCACAGGTTTTTATTTTTCTTTTGACAAATAAAAATATGATAGCCACAAGAAGACGACAAGATTTTGAGTTCATTTGAAATTACAGTAACCTTGGTGAAAATTTTTTCTTAAGAATTCGAAGAGTTGAGTTTCCATTGTGAATTATTGCAGAACATATATGTTTATTTATAATCTTTTTTTGATGAAAAAAACAAAATTAATGAATATTTGTGGCAGATGTCTCAATTAAACAAAATAGTAAGCTGGGTTGTTTTCAGTAAGTGTTTAAATAAATATGATAGATTAAAATGTGAATACTAGGAGGAGCACTGACCATGAAGTATTACCTATTGAAAGACACAGAATATCATGCCCTGATTTTCATGCTGACCCTTTCTTCTCTCCAGGCCTGAGGTACATTATTGCATCATGAACTTAGTTTTAATATGAAATGAGTTCATAAATACTTTAATATCTGGCCCTTAGAATTCAAAACCATCTCCTTTTAAAGTACAACCCTCCAGCTACATTTAAGAAATGGTTTTCATTTCATTCACACTCAACTTTCATTTATATAAAATATTAGAATAACATTCATTTCACATCTGCCATATACTTCTATAAAAAGCCAGATTTGATCTTGGACCTAGGTTTTGGAGATGGCTGCCTTTCTCTACTATTTATCTGGTTATTTAACAATGCAAAGATCAGACTGTAGTAGCCAGATCAATAAATTTCATAGAACTAGTAGAAGTCAAGCTTATTTCTTAAAAAAAAAACAACAAAA